TACACTAGAAAAATCAAAAGAACAGGTTACTAATTCAGTGGCCAGTTTTGGTTTGAGTTCATTGTGAAACATGGGGGAGGAGAGTCTTCCCACAGAAGATATATACATGATGTGAGAAAATAAACTAACTACATGTAAGAACATGTAAGAAAAGCACATTTTTGAAAGGAACTGAAGGGAAGTGAAAGAACTTAGGAGTCAAAGAGCACAGATTTGACAGTACCTTTCAAAAGATAATTACTACATGCAAAAAAGAAAACAGGGAAAAAAGAGAGCAAATGAAAATGCAGGCAAACATACCAGATACAAAACTTCTGCTTACTCCGAGACCTTCACACTTCACTGTGCATATTGGGTTCTCACATACTGAATTGGAAGGAACAAGTGACAGAAAACACAAGCCAATCCCAAAGTAAGTTGCATAAGGTTTTCTGGCAATTACCCTCAAAAGTAAAGGCAGTGAAGTTGCCTCTTTTCCCTGAATATCCACCTCAGAGTCCTTCAGGATAGGAATCCCCTTGTAATCAGCTAAGTGGGACCTGCCACATGACTTTTCTTAGGCTGATTTGGGCTAAACCAAAGCAGTCATGAATAGGGCCTACAAAGTGCATGTACTCACATGGTTTCTTCTCTTTTCAGTGAATGGACTGCAGAGATAGTAAATAAAGGGTTGAGTGTGACTACTGACTGTGTACTGACATAATTTCAATTCATATACTTCTTCATTTTTAATCCCTGGCATCCACACATGATTTGTAATTGTGAGTCATGGGGACATCTCCAGAATGACTGACAAAGCCTCAAAAGGCAAGAAAGACACACCTCATAGTGCTAGCCTTATTTAGCAAGGGAAAAATAGTTACGCCAATGGACTCACCTCATAATTCTGGATGTCAGAGATAATTTTTAAACCCTGGGTCTTCAAACCCCTCCCATCTCATCACTTATCACTTGCATCATGGAAAAGTGCTGCTTCTACAGTTGGGTGCAGCCAGCATGTGAACAGAAGAACTGCACATCCATCCTCACATCATCCAAACTTTCAGTAGCCTGCAGATATAAAGGAGAAGTGAGCACAGAATTTGTATGGAATATGCCAAAGAAGTGGTGTAAGTAGCCAACACAGAAACTGTGCAATTCTCCTTCCTCCCTCAGTCTTCTGGACACTGGCTCCAAGGATTTGCATTTGCTGCTTAAATGCATCTTGTAAAAAAGCAGAAGAGAAGCTGCTTGCAGCACTGAAGTTCTAGTGTTCTGATTCATGATTCAGCAGCTCTTTATAAAGCAGGTTGTGTAAGAGAAGCAGCTTGTCACACTCAGTGACCCCCTTGCAGGGAACGTGGGTGTATGCCCCTCTGCATACTCATGGGATCCAGCTTCATGCAGAAATCCTCAGCAACACACCTTCTTCTGGAAGGCAGCAGCCAGGAAATCATGTGGGATCTTTGGGACTTCTGTCCTTGTAGCTCCAAATCCAACCCATAAGGGCAGGCAACCAGTGCTTTCTGGCACTTTTGCCTGGGTTTTATTTCTCTTGCTCACTCTTATTTTCAGTTCTGGTTTTGGTCTTTGCTGCTGTGAGACAGTCATTGCTAAACATGCCTAGCTATAGCACCACACTCCACTTAGGCTTTCAGTTGCTAAATTGTTTTAATTTCTCCTCTTACACACCTACACTAAATAGAAAAAAAAAAAAACAAACATAAAAAAACCCAAACAAACAAACCAAAACACAAAACAGGACTATGCTTTTTTTTTCTACTTGACTAGAGGTAAAAATGCTTATTCACAGGAGGAAAATATAACAGCTGAGAAGGAGTTTCCGTAGTTTTCAGTGGCTTGGCACAAGCAATTTTATTTAGGCAGTCAGTTGTGTGGTTTAATTCAGTGGGGCCCAGCCTAAGAGGAAATCCCCTTGATAAAACTTCACCATGTAGTAGGGCAGCTGGAGCAGAAAACCTCTGTCTATACCAGTAGATTCTGCACAAGTGCTCCCTCCTCTTCTGCTGTAACAGATGGATCCCAAAGAAAATTATCTATGTCCTTTGGGAAGTCTGGGCTTCTTCCTCCCTTTCCTAAGAAAAGGCAGGATGAATCTCATCTGGAAAAAATATCATTCACAGTTCTGTACATTACAGTACACACACGAAAACATGTCAGTGGTCTGAGGGGAATTCTGTGCTAAAGAGAGAAAGACTCTTGCTCCCAGAGACCATGGGGTAAAGGTAAAGACCCAAGTGTACCAGCTTAAAATAAAACATGATAAAAAAATGGGAAACCATCAGGTACCTGTACTACCAGTCAGGACAGCAGACAGCACAACCACAGTTTTCAAGTAGTACAAGAGCTGAAGAGTTTTTACATCTGCTCCAGCAGAAGAGAAGAGTGAAGGACCCTGGCAGGGGTGGTGTGGAGGCTTCTCTCAGTTATCTGGAAAAGGCACAGGAAAACCACAGAGGTGCTGCAAAAATGCAAACCAGCAACTACAGGCCAGTCAGAAGCAGCTGCCATTCTCTCACCAGTACACTGGACTGACATTTAGCTGTTCACCAGTCTTCTGGGCCCTTATGAGCCCAAGCAGCCCTCAACTCTTTAAACCATACAGGTTTAAACCATTCTCTCAGTTATCTTTTACTGTCATGAAGGATAGGTTCCTGTTACAAAACTGAAGGCCACACACTGCATTGCTTCTGGTAGCTGACATCATCACGCCAACTCCCCCACCTCCTCCTCCTTCTGATGTGTCACCCTCTCCTCCCCCTCTACTTTCAATTCCCTCATCTTCTTCCCCACACTGCCAGGCCGAGCATGCTCCCCATTCCTCTTTCCTCCACACCAGGCATGCTGAGTACTCGTCCTGTCTTTTGCACCCCGGGATCTCTGTGTTTCTCCCATGGCACACTCTGTCTGCAGTAATCTTGCACTGCATCACCGTCTCTGTAAAACAGAGACCTATCATGGCCTGCTTCTTGTTGCCAAAGCCTGTGAAGCACGCAGAGGTCCTTGCAGCAGCCCGTGGGAAAAGGTGAGATTAACTTTCTCAATAGTCTCTCTCTTGCTAAAGCTTCCTGGTTTATCACTTCTTTGGGAGTACTGGAGAAGGTACTGGAGTGTTTTCAACCGCTAACATATTTCTTTTATTCCTTCCTCTTACAGCGTCATGGAGGTCTGTTTATTCTGCCTTTATGCTCTGATACTTCTCCCAGGTAAAAGGTGCATTTTTAATTGTAGAAACTGTTTTGATTATTTGTGTCCTGCTATGTGATACTTTCCCATCCACTAAGAAGCTAGTTCCTTAGTAATAATTAATAATTTCTGTTGCACAATCAAGGTCATACAACCTGTGTGTCATGCATTTAAATTTTGTGCAGGAACTCTACAAAATATACAGTAAGTACTTTCTTCAATTTTATATCTTTACATTACACTTATTTTATGTTGCTCTTAAATTTTCAATTTAATTCTATCCTTGAAATGTGTGGATATCACCACTGTATATCATAGAGCAGAGCAGTATTGAACTGAAATCTGACAGTTTGATATGGGACAACTGGAGTCTTAGGCAGCCGTGGGAATCATTTGCAGTCTGGTGCTCTGGAGGAGCAGTCAGAACTTTGCACCAGGAGAGTGACTGTAAATCTTCTCCCCCTTCTGAACACAGCAGAGGTGTTTGTATCTTCTGGGACAGAGCTCTGCATGTCTCATTCCAAGAAAAGACAGTCCTCCAAGCCCATCACCACCCATAATACTGGCTCCAGGCACTGATGAGAGCGGGAGAAAAACATCCCTTGTACAATATGGCTCATGCTTGCTTTGCATGAAGGCAAAATTGTGCTTATTGACTATTTCTGTTAACAAGATCAGCAACAGAACAGTTAACTTTGACATTTAATCTGTCATTAAACTCTAGATTAATTACAAAACAGTTAAATCTGACATTTAATTTGTCATTAAACTTCAGATTAATTCTTCAGTAAGACTGAAAGCGTTCACCTGTTTCTGACCTCCTGGTCATATATTCCCTGGACACCAGCATTTACCACACAGTCTGCACTTCACATTTTTTTTTTTACTGCAATGCTGTGTTATTTTATTAGGAGAATGAACTCAACTTTTAAAAAAGAAATTGTGCAACTATCTCCTTTTTGGTAGAATCTCAGTACACTTGCAAATCTCAATACTACATGGAAAAATGGTTTGGACCTTTTGCTTGCATATAAGTCTTCTAAAATATAGTTGCTCACAAACTGTGTGGTGGGCCTTCCTTGGAAAGTAAAATAAAGGAGGAAAAATAAGAAACAGTTTTATGACCTGAACTCCACAATACTAAGTGAGTCAGTTTGAAGAACTATGTGTCCTGTTATACCTAGTGGGAGAGTTTGTGTCTAAATGCTGCTGGTTTTATGGCTACTGTTGTGAAGTGTAGCCTCTGTGAGTGCAAATACTTGGTGTTCTTTTGTTGTTGATGGAAATCTTAATTTCTTCTCTTTCTTTGTTTAAGGTATTGCTGCCAGTATGCATCAGGTGAAGGCATTTCTCAATCACACTGCATACCTATCCTGCTATTTTCCAAACTCTCAGAAAGCTGACATAAGGGATTTAAGAGTTTTCTGGCAAAAAGGTGATGTTGAAGTGGTGCACGAAGTATACTACGGCCAAGAAATACATGATAACATTAATCCTAAATATATAAATCGCACCAAGATGGATATGGACAAATGGACCTTGCAATTGTTAAATGCAGGAATTGTGGACGAGGGACAGTATATGTGTATTATACAGCACAGAGACAATGGACCACCAAAGCTCATACATCACTCTAGGTGCTTACTGCACATCATTGGTAAGTATCCCCTTCTAATCGTCATCTGGTCTGGGGTTTTTCTGGGAGGTTGTCTGTCATTTTCTTCAGTCCAGAAATGTGTGGTACCTTCTCCAGGCCACTGAAGATGTACCTGCACTGGAGCAGAATTTCTAAAGGGAGATCAGAGCATTCTCAATAGAAAATCCTCTGCTCTGAATGAAAAGTAGCCAGGTGGAAGAAGCAGACGTACTCAATCAGATAAAGTAGAAAATGAGGCAATAATTTGCTCAATATTGCATCATTCCTGATTCCCACCCTGTCATACTTCGTAGTGGAAATCATTCTGCCTTCTTCCTCTTGCCTCCTGCACGTTTTATGGCTTTTAGGACTCTGGAAAATATACGTCTTTATTTGCATCCGATGAACTGTTTTCTATTAAAAGCAATAGCAGTTAGCATCACTGGTGGTAAATTAAAATTGAAACATAACAAGATTTCTGCAAACACCCAGCTATTTAACTATTATCTAAATTGCAGGGCAAATAAAGAAACGAGCAGCTCATATGGGGAGGAGTAGAAATTCATATGCTCAGTTAGATTGAAAATACCTCCGAAGAAAAAATGCAGGCATTGATGAGATTCAACTTGATTTCTTGTATATTATCAGAGAAAAAGGCAGAAAATCTTTTAAGAAGGGAATAGGGTTCAGTGAGGAAGCAATATTTTCCTAATATTTTATAATATTTTTAGTAATTCCTAATATATTTTCCTAGAGTTTTTATGGTTTAAGCTGTTCTGCAAGTAAACTTTGTTCATATGCTTGTGTTCTCTCTTCCCCTAGTTATCAATAATAACAGCTTCTAACTTCCACTCATGTTTTCAGGCTTCAAACCTGCTTCAAAAGAACAGGGCGTGTGTAAGAGCAGCCAAAAATGGAGTACCAGGGTGTCTGAGCCTATTTAGCTTTGTGCTACCAGCAAGTGTTCCCTCAGTCCACTGATAGAGAACCTGAATTGATACTTTTGTTTCTCCCAGAATCTACTTGACAAGCATTTTCTGCAAACTGTTAGAACTCAGAATCGTAATATGCACTCACTGTCAAGTCCTCCAATTTAAGAGATGCTTAGCATCAACAGTTCCATTAATTCAAGCAGTTAAATCAGCTATCAGCTTAGCCAACATCTGAACAACATGTTACAGAAGTCTCATACTTAGGAACTAAAACTCTCTCAGACCTTTTAAGGCTTAACTTAGGAAGATTGTTTTAAACTATTTGCTACTGACTATTTCCTAATGACTTTTGGCATTTTTGACATTATTTTCCTAATGGCTTATTGGGTTCAATAAGCACCCAAAGGAAGGAGCAGTATAAAATCATATTAAAAAAACCAACAACTTAAAAATAACTAGAATACAAATGTTGAAACATATCTGTGTTTGTGTACCTACTGTTTCTTAATTAGAATCTCATATCATACACAGAGGGTTTTTTGTAGTATGGCATGTACTTAAAATGGACGTAAGAAAGATTGAGTGCTGTACCAGAGTGATGGGGCAGTCACACAAAGCCATCCAGATCACTCGGTGCCCACTCAGAAATACTGAAGTACCTTCTCATACAGTTTACATGTGTTATTTCTTTGCATTACATGAGGAGAATATATGGCTAGATATAAGTCAATGATATGTATTGTGTACAGCCAGGATGATTTATGTAAGAGCAGTGAACACGGATCATTCTCCAGAAAGATGGGGAGGCTTCACAGTGGAAAGCTTTGTCTCTTAAAACAAGCAAGGCAGAGACCATGGTGACAATCAGCTTAACTGGAAATTCCACTGCAATACTGTGGCTCTAGTGCTTCCTTTGGATTGATCAGTAAGGGAAGTAGGTGAGGCCAGGAAAGCTATGTTAAAATATAAACTATCCAAAGAGTTGGGAGTGAAACTGATGTCAGAATAGAGACTTAACTGTGCCCTCATTCTAAAGGGGATGTTGAAAAACTTAAAAGTGTGAAGAGAGGCTCTACTACTGTTATCTGAAGGCTGGTAAAAAGTATAGTCCAACTGGAGAAAAGATTGATATGCTTCCATAGTAACAGAGAAGAATGAGAAGTGACTTATTTTCAGAGTGTAGAAATCTGAAATACTCCTAAACTACTGGATATTAAAAAAAAAAAAAAGATAGGCTAATTAATTCAGTGAAGATAAAAGCTAAAAGCCAGAAAGAAGTAGGGCACACTGTCACTTAGAAAATGCAATAAACTCAGGTAGGGTGATTTAAAAATATTTTAATTTATTAAACACTGAGAAAAATATTAAGGGCTTGGTGGATTTGCTGTCTTTTGAGGTATTTAAATGTAAGCCCATAGCCTTTTTGGAAGACATGTTATTTTTAAACACAAAAGATTTCCTGAAACACACTTTTCTGCTAACAATCCAAAGGTCACATATACAGAGCCCACACCCTGCATGCAACCAACATCACTTTTCAGTAAACTGAGGTTCCAGAAACCATAAAACCAGAAGTGCTTTGATGAGAGTATGTTGCACTATTTCCACTTGTTTACTGTCAATAAGATGGAAACTCTTAAATCACTTGGATGATCTGGCAAGTTTCACAGCCACGATTACATTCCTGCCCTCTCTAAAAAATGCCAAGGGGAGAATAAATACTCCAGTGCAGAAGCTGGAGTGAGCACTCAGCTAAGAAAGTCAGGCCGTGAGGAGAAAGGGGAAGCTTGACTTCTCCTGAGGGACAGCTTAACTAAATTTTGGGGGTATGAAAAAGGGGAGCTTTTCTATTTTGAATTCACAGCCATGGACTCTCTTGGAGATTTAAGTGACTAAGCTAAATCCTTCTCTGTGTTGGCATACAGCAAATAAAAGCAACTTCATGTTTCTTCATTCATCCACATTAAGAATTCACAGGGACAAGGATTAGAACTTGGATCAAACACATTAAGTGTGTGTGCAGAACAGGCAGACCCTCTAAGGCTCATATTTTTCTAAAAATCCTTTTCCTCGTCTCCAATATTTCTCTATATTGTCTTTAGACCTATTGGAACTAAATTAATGAAGTATCTTCAATAAAACCTCAAGTCTGTTTCTTGGGGTTTTGTTTGATTGATTGATTGATTTGTTTTGTTGTTGTTTTAACTTGCTCTATGCCAACGTGCAGTCAGTATTGTGTCTACGTTCTCTCTTTCTCCTTTTCCATTACAGTCTATTTCTACTATAAACTTTTAACCAAAGAAATCTTGGTTGAGAATATTTGAAAGATTATTTAATAGAGAGCTTTGGTTAAAGTCTTCCATTTATCATTAATATTTTATGTTTAAATAATTCTTTCCAATCCTGCTTCATTAATTATCTCTCACCTGGAAAACTAGACTTTTTAAAGCAACAGGTACGTTTTTCTTTGATTGAGTTGAGTATCCAATGACAAAAAGTAAAAGAACTTGTACTGTAGTCACTTCCACACAAAATGCCACGCTGAGGGAGGCCTATTGTCAAGTTGAGTGAATTACTTTATATGCTGCAAAATGATTACTCATAATACTGACAGACACCAAGGACTTTTCTACCTATGACAGCACTAGACTTCCAACTTACTCCATCTAAAGTGCCTCAGATGATTTCTTTACATTTCACAGTTACAAGTTTGTGGTTTTCCCCTTACTTAATCAGGAGGTTGAAAGTAGGCAGCACTGTGTCCTGTTCCCACTTTGTGCTCACGCACTGACCCACAAGCAGGCCAGGTTTGATTATTCTGAGGTGTCAGTGGATCTTAAGGAGGTGGGAGATCCAGGGGTCCATGGTCTGGCTGATCAGACTTGTGTCCTTAAAACACCCTGAGGACAAGGAGCAGCAAGTCTACACGTACACCAAACACATAAGCCCTTCTTGGGACTCCCACTGTTTTCCTGGGAAAAAATGTTTAGACTCGCTTCTGCCTGAAAATCTTAAATCATTGGCAGGAACTGTCACCAGATGTGGTATGTCTGACTCATGATGCTTTCTCTTTGGTCTGTTTCAGCCAACTATAGTCGACCTGAGATAGCATGGCTGCACATTGGGGAACTAAAGCCCAGCGAATACTTGAATCTTTCCTGTTCTTCCAGCGGAGGTTATCCAGAGCCCGAGCAAATGACTTGGCTAATTTCATACAAAAACCAAACGTGCAGTCCTAGGGGTCACACGGATGTCTCACAGGATGCCATAACAAAGCTGTACAATGTTACTAGCAAGCTGAATATCCCAGTTCCTACAAACACCCCCACTAACATTAGCTGCCTGCTTCACCTTGGAGAGCAGCTGGGGAGCCTTGTCTCGGTGCCACTGGGCATAGGTGAGTCTCCGTTTGCCAGTTCTGGTTTCTGCACGGGTAGGAGCAGTGTACATTGCAGCAGGGAGGATCACAGATAGCAGCATAGTCAGGGCAGGGAATAAACACAGAGTAGAACAGGAGGTGGTTACAAGGCTTGTATGTTCTCCATCTTGTTCACCAACAGCCGTGACCACCAAATTCCCTCTCCAGTCTCATTACAGCAGGGAGAGGCACAGAGAAGGAAGGCTACTGCTACACAATCCAGAACACAGCCTTGTTCACTCCCTCCCTAGATGCTGCTGCAGGAGCAACAAAACAACCTGAATGTCTGGATTAGGTGACAGCCAGTCACAGAATCAGAGTACTGCCGGGCTTGGAAGAGGCATCTGGTGATCATTCTGGTCAAAGTAGGGTCAACAGGTAGCACAGGTCCTTACAGAGTTGAGTTCTAAATATCTCCTGGGATAGAGACTTCCCAACCTCTCTCGGCAAACAGCTCCAGTGTTTGACTGCCCTGACAGTAAAGAACTTTTTTTCTGATATTTAGGTGCTTGAGCTGCTGTTCTTAATCATTGTCTAGAGAGAAGCAGAAGGCTAAACAGAAGAGTCCCTTGGACTCGATTTGGCTCACAAACTGCCAAATAGACTGTGTTGAGTTTTAAAGTAAAGGCCATGAAACTTCAGCTAGTTTTAGAAGCATTGCTGGTGGTTTCCATAACATTTGGCAGAATGAAGTGTGCATTCCAAAATTACTATTTGGGGATTTTTTTTTCCTCTGGGATCGTGTCTTTTTTTCAGAGGCCTCTTGCAAGAAGAAGCTGGGGACCCAAGTTCCAATAAGACTTTACTGCTGGATAATCTCAGGGTGCCACATGACTGATCCTTTCGTTAACTAAAGTTGTATTTTATTTACCTCCTGGGACAGGAAAACATTCTTTGACTTATTTTTGTTCATAAGGTACACCACAAGTGCATGAAAATAAGGACAATTCCCACATGGCTTGCACATCTCCTTTAGACAATGTTGAAAATGGAGAACTGTGCTTCAGCTGATAGGAACAAGGAGCCAAGAGGGGATGGCAGCATTGCAGGAAGCTTAGCAGGGTACTACAGGCATGCACCTTACTCCTGCAGATGTAAAAGAAGCTTGCCACTCATTCTGAAAAAAGTTCCACAGTGCAGTTTTCTTCATAAAAATTTAGCTGAAGGGTTATCAGTGCTAGATACAGCAAACTGCCTCTGATGCCTGTACATTCTAGGATTTAAAAATGGTATTAAAATACAATACAGAAGGTATTGTACTTTGGAGGTTTGCACACCTCCACATGCTGCTTATGAGCTACATGGCTACATTAGCTATATTAAGTATATTAGATATATTAGTTATAATGCTGCATCCTCCTCTTCCCTATTACATTCTTCTTCTCTCTCCCCTGCCTTTATCAAAGTAGCCATCTGATAAGCAGTGATGGTGGATAAGAAACTAGGAGCCCCAGATAAACAAAGACTTCATTTGGTGATAACTGAAGCTCTATCAGTTGCTAGCAACAAAAATGTCAAAAGCACAATAACCAGAAATGGAGGGAAACACCTTTGCATTCCATGTTACTTTCACATCCCTTATGGCATTTCGTTAGGGTTTGATCATCATTTCTAACAGACACCAAGTACTAACATATCCCAGGTTCTTCAAACTTGCATGGTACCACAAAGTAGCAGTAGCACAGTAGCAGCCTCATAGGCTCTTATGAATTAAGTTGCTGATTTCTCATGTTACCCAAACTGCAGAAAGAGCACTTTGCCTTCCTGTTGTGCTACAGTGGCTGTTAAGTCTTGCTAGTTTTGCTAGTTATTTGAAATGGAAATAAAGCAACGTGGATAGTGATTTGTTGACACTGTTAAAGCATTGTAGAAGCAAAGGATGCTGAGGGCCTTTCCATAAACTTCTAATTCACATAACTTTGGGATAGATTGCTTAAGCTAATTGTCTCTAAATTAAACCTTTGCTGTGTGTATCTCCTCTATCTTCTTACTCAGAGATACAAGGGGAAGAAACGGAGCAAGTGAAGACAAATTTCTTTGGCCCACTTATAGCTGTAGTTATACTGATCACATTTCTTCTGGGGTTTGTAATATTGAAGAAGAAAAGAAATATCTCATCTACCAACCAAAGTAAGTTACGACTTCTCAACTTCAGCTCTACTCTCTCTCAAGTCACAGGCTTTGCTCTTTGTAATCATCCCTTCACCTATATTCAAGCTGCTAACAGAAGGTTATGTTTCATGCTGGACTTAAGCTAAACTTCCTTGGACAATTTAGTCCATCCAACAGTAAGTAAAAATATTTTTCTCCTGTCTTGTCCTGGGATCCACTTCTCCCTCTTTGTGCTCTGTGAAAATGCCATGGCACAAGTGTACCACTTTTTGTGCAGTTTCATACTTTTTTTTTCTGTTTTATTGGTAGATTTGGTTCCTAAAACCATTGAACTATATTAACCTTTTTTGTCCATCACAATTTATGAGAAAGGTGGCGCTGGGGGAGGGATGAGATGAGGCTTCTGTCAAGTGCAAGTATCTCTGTCATCACAGAGCTTAAGGAGCCCAGGCATTGCTCCACCACAGGCTGCCCAACAGTGGACTGGGAGAATCATCCTGTAATGGGAACAGAATTGGATCTTTGCATTGCATTTCTCTACTTTGTCCCAACAACAGGTATCAGCAAGTCCAGGTTTTATTCTGAGCTGGAAGGATCCTCACACTGACATCAGAATCTATCCTTCCTTGTAGCAAGAGGGAAATGCATTTGACACAGTCAGACCTGTTTCCTTACACAGTCAAGGGTTCTAAGCCCCACCTCATTCTTTCTCCAAACTCTAAGATAACTGGACACTTATTATGAAATATTTTTCAGCGCCTATTTCTCACATTTCTGTAAATCACATATTCATCTCTTTTTAGGTGTCAGTCTACCAGTCTAGAAACTATCTTGAAACTGAGACCAAGCCAGATTGGCAACCACTGCTGTACATAGCAAGGCCTGAGGTCTCACGTCGTTGGATGTTCTGCCAGAACAGGAATCCCCCTCAGATGCCCTACAGAAGACCATGCAATATTTTTGTCCGATGGCTGAAATCCACTGGCCAGCGTTCTCTGCTTTTATTTTTGCTCCACAATGGTAGTAAATATGACGATTTGCCTGTCTGCATGACCATATTTTACTTGTATTTTTCATTATGCACTGTGACATTGTAAAATCCTGGGAGTCAATGAAGAAAGCAGAGCTGCGTGGGCTAGAGAAAGGAGCATCTCAGAAAGAGAAAGAGTAAGGCTCAATCTGTGAATCGTAACCACCACTGGAAACATGATCAGAGGTGGGCTATTAATCATGAGCCACAAAGGCTTTTCACAGAGCCAGCCTAGCTTTGCACCAGTAACTTCCTTGTAAAGCTCCACAGCAGAAAAAGGAACTTCAGGACACTCCTCCACTTTCTGAGAAAAGTCAGGCAATTCCTATCAGGCATTTGGAACTAGAAATCACCTGGAAGAAAGACTTGCTGTAAACGTCATTTCTAGTTGTGGTTTGTTTGGTTGGTTTTTTAACTACTGTCTAAGCTTAATATGTCCAGACAGTTAGTACCTCCACATTTTGTTCCTCTGTATTCTGTCTGGATGTTGTACTAGTTGTTCAGGTGGATGCAGGGATGGAAAATGAAAGCATGAGGTATCACTCAGATGTGTAGAAATCTAAATATATAAAATCAAGCTAAGCAGGTAACAAAAAAAATGTGAGTCATGTTCCAATTTAGTTGACTATGTTCTCACTTTCTTAATTCTGCTTCAGACCTTGAAGATAGAGCAATCCATAAGCTATGGTATGCTCAGCTATAGGAATTAGTTTTACCTTTCAAAATATTCTCCATTTCACTCAAAATGTTCCAGTTCTCCAATCTTGAATGATCTCTGCACTTTATATTCCTCAACAACACTGACATCTTTCAGGAGGAAGCATGCAGCAGAATTGAGACAGAATTCTCCCAAGGTCTTGACTGTGTTTGTAGGCCTGACATTTTCAGCAAGAGCAGGGACATTAGCATCACATTCTCAAGACAACCAATTTCAGCTCAGTTACAGTCTAGGGGCATAAATTCTCTACAGTTTCTGCTGGGTATAAATGCTCTTTTCTGTTAAATGATGTTGTGAGTTGCTAGATTCCACGTAAAATTTTACCCATTTTCAAGTGTGTGGGAGAATGTACATGTACTTTTGAGTTAGATAAACCATCTGAGAGTCAGTTTGTTAAGCTATTACACTAACATTCCAAATATTTTCATTCATATTAATATCATTCAATTCCATGAAAAGTTAAAGGGTTTATTTTGATGTAAAAGTTTATATTTGCTAGCAAACTTATTTAATGACTTATTAAAATACAGGTGTTTTGCTGTGTTGGTGTTTTAATCTCCTGCCATCCATAGAATCATAGAATGTCTGGGCTGGAAGGGACCTCCAAAGGTCATCTAGTCCAACCCCCCTGCCACAAGCAGGGACATCTCCAACTAGATCAAGCTGCTCAGAGCCTCCTCCAGCCTGATCTTGAATGTCCCCAGGGATGGGGCCTCCACCACCTGTCTGGGCAACCTATTCCAGTGATCTGTCACCCTCATACTGAAGAACTTTTTCCTAATGTCTAACCTAAATCTACCCTTTTCTAGCTTAAAGCCATTACCCCTCGTCCTTGTGAATCGTCCCTCTCCTGCTTTCGTGTAGGCTCCTCTCAGGTACTGGAAGGTTGTTATAAGGTCCCCCCAGAGCCTCCTCTTCTCCAGGCTGAACAACCCCAACTTCCTCAGCCTGTCCTCACAGGAGAGATGCTCCAGCCTCATTAAAGTAGTATATCAGGGAATATCCACACTTAGTGCTCTGAGGGAGAAAACTCTCCCAGAATTGTTTCTTGGAAGCAAATTAATAAAAGAAGTACTGCTGCAATGACCAAGAATGTCACAACTGAAGGTTTCCTATGTTCATTCATAGAGCTGGATACCTGTGCATGATTCTGCATATGCATACCTCCTTGCTTTATTGACCTATACACCTCAAATACAAGATATAAAATTCTAGTCTTCAAATTTGGCCTTATATTTTGGTGCTGCAGGTCGTCAAATATATCTCCAGTGGGTCACACAATCTTCTCTAACACTTGATAAATAAAGTTTGTGGTTCAGCTATCAGGTATATGAAATCAGGTAGACAGTATAGATTCACTAGGTTTGTATTCACTCACTAGATTTGTGTTGTCTCTCTTTTTTTTTAACAAATGCTGTAATTCTGTATTTTTTCCCCTTCCCACTCAAGCCATCCACCTCAAATCCTCACTAACATTGAGGCTGTCAGAACATCTAAACCCTGTTTTGCCCCTACCCAAACAACAAGCCTTGTCAGTCTTTTGTCTTCCATAAAGAATCATAGAACAGTTTGGGTAGAAGGGACCTTAAAGATCATCTTGTTCCATGCCCTCTGCCACAGGCAGGGACACCTCCCACGGGACCAGGCTGCTCAAAGCCCCATCCAAACTGGTCTGGAACCCCTCCAGTGATGCAGCATTCACAGCTTCCCTGGGCAACCTCTCCCAGTGTCTCGCCATCCTCATAGAGCTACTTCCTTACATCCAATCTAAGTCCACCCTCTTCCAGTTTAAAGCCATTACCCCTCAGCCTATCACTACAATAATTTTACTATTGTAAAAAGTCCCTCCACAGCTTTCTTGTAGGGCCCTTTCAGGTACTGGAAGGCCACAGTAAGGTCTCCCTGGAGCCTTCTCCTCTCCAGGCTGAACAACCCCAACTCTCTCAGTCTATCCTCATAGGAGAAGTGTTGCAGCCCTCTGATCATCTTTGTGACCCTCCTCTGGACTTGCTCCAACATGTCTGAGTCCTCCCTGTGCTGGGGGCTCCACAGCTGGATGCAGTACTCCAGGTGGGGTCTCACCAGGGTGATGTGCTGCTTATCTGACCAGCTTTACACACAGAGGAAAAAAAACATCACAAACCTTTCATGTTTGTCCCTAGGTGGAAAACAATAACCAGTTCCTTCACAAGAGACAAGGTACCTGAAAATCTATGCTAGGACTCATGAGTCCTACTCTAGCACATTCTCTTAACAGAAACAAAGAAAATTATTTTGAGCACTTGGAAATTCAACAGTTTTTGCAATATGTCTTGGTATCTCTGAGAGGGTTTTTCATCCTGATACACTGTCCAACTATCACTCTCAGCAGTAGTAACTAGGGGAAAAGTCACATGATTTATCTTTTGACAACTTTGTTCCATCCTTCATTTGTTTCTAATGGGTGAAGTTGTTTGCTTTCCCGCCATGCCACCCTTCTACATTAGACTGCCAACCTCCTTCTATTACCTGATCAATTTCTCTACGTCCTCTTTTCTTGCTCTTAAAATCAGCTCTAATTCCCTCCTGCTGCTAAAGACAGTTAAAGTGAAGAAAGCAGATGGGCTTCAGGGGAAATCTTAGTTTGTCTCTATCTGTTCAAATACATTAATCCTGCACTAGCAGGTGTAATGAGTGCAGTAGAAAGGCACAAGAAAAATGTAGCTCATGTGCTGGCACTTTTGTCCCCCATATGGGTATATTCAGGCTATCTCCTCACCCACTTTGTAGTTTTTTTTTCCTTTGAGAGCATCTTTCAGTCATTTAGCTACTCTATACACATGGCAAGCAAACACATAACATACACCTACTACATACCTACTACAGCATGTAACAGCTTCACTTAAAAACACCATTCCTTTATTTTTAGGAATTTTTACATTATGAATTTCCGAAAATGCTAACAAAGAAACGGAAACAGTGTGTTAAACCAGTACCCAGTGCCCTGAGGTGAAATCCTGTCGCCAGACTTACAGCTCTGACAGACTGCTTCAGGTCCACTGGTTACCCAGCGCTGAATCGCAGAACAGTTGAGCTTGGAACAGACCTAGAGAGATGGTCCAGTTCAACATCCCTGCTCGAGCAGAGTCACAGAAGCAGAAGAGAGAACTGGACACAGTGCCTCAGATGTGGCCTCATCAGTACTGAGGGGAAGATTCACATCCTTTGATCTGCTGGCAACACTCCTCCTCGTACAGCCCAGGATACCATTAGCCTTCCTTGCCACAAGAACATGTTGCTAGCTCATGTTTAGCCTGGTGCCCAGCAGGACCCCCAAGCCTTCTGCAAAGCTGCTTTCCAGCTTGTCAGCTCCCAGCATGTGCTGCTGCATGGAAAGGAGACAAGTTGAGTTAAAAGAGGCAGAATAAGCAGGTTTCTGGAATTTATCTGAAAAAGCCAGCACATAGTCAAGGTTTGTACTGTGGAAAAGAAAGGGTCTGCTATAAAAAAATATTAGAGTGAGAAAGAGTATGAGCAAAGGTCTCTATGTTAGAAGAAAAGCCAAGACAAACCCAAGCAAAGAAAAGAAGATGATCAGCAGCATATTCCTTCAT